TGTTAGAATGAATTTAAAATATCGCGGTCAATTTGTACCGACTCACTTCATGAGCGGTTGGCACCTCTATTGTTCTCATATTGGCAACGCACCTGTCGACATTATTCGCAGATAGATTCAAGATACATAGTTTTTGATACGATTGATAAAAATCGATACAGTGAATTGGAGCACGTGCAATTGTAATCCAAATTATTAAAGGTTTCACAATGTATAATCAGTGTTATTGTGATAATTAAATCGACAATTAATTCAAATTATGTGACGTGGCAAATTATTTCAAGGTTCCAATCATAATTTGAACAAAACGGTATATATGTTCTGATTGATTCAGATAGAAGGCATCGAGACGAATATTTTGAAAAAAAAAAAATTGAAATTGGTTGAATAATTTCTGAGCTATTGCAGACAGAAGGTTTTCAGGGAAAGTCGAATATCTCGGAAACTACTCGGTCGATTGGGCTCATTTTCAATAGGAAATATTGTCATCGCGGGGGGAAGATTCTATCCAAATTGCAAGTTGATTCCTTCATTTTTGCACAAGCTAGCGTGATTACAAGGATTTTTATGGAAAAACTGAAAATCTGAAATATCTCGAAAACTTTGTATGAACGGGTATATATGTTTTGATTGATTCAGATAAAAGGCACCGAGACGAATATTTTGAAAAAAAAATTGAAATCGGTTGGCTAGTTTCGAAGATATTAACGAAAAACGATTTAAAAATGAATAGCTTTTTCTCAAAAACTATTCGATCGGTCGGGCTGAAATTTGGCACAGAGTTAGTTCTAGTTAAGTACTATAATCTGACAAAATTTCAGATTTTTTGGAATAAGTTTAGTCAATTTATTACTCGATTTTCCAAAAAATGACCACCGGACAGGTGGCGATGGACATTGACACCGACAGACACACTCCCCAAACTTCGTATTTTTACGTTTCAAATCATTCTACATCATTTCCAAGCAAAATTAGAGAATCGAAAAATAGAACGATTACAATGCTTCCATTCGGAAGCAAAAAATGAAAAGAGCAATAAGAATTTGCAAAAATGAATCTCATCACCGCGAACTTTTCTCGTAAGCATAATTTAAATTGGTTTAATAATTGGCGAGCTATTCAGAGGGAATGCTCTTAAAGTAATTCATACTAATTAGAAAGTACGAGGATAGATGCTTGACCGATTGCGTTCAACGTTTTTTTAGCACATTTAAAATTATTTTCGCTCAAACTTTTAAAATGGAAAATTTTCACGATGACGCAGAGCGCAATGTATCTGCAAAATTTTTAAAAACGGGCGCCATCAAGTTCGAAAGATTATCTCTCTATATTACCCCTTGAAATCGCAGTTTTTCTCTGAAAACCCCCCAAAAAAAACTTAATACTGAATAATCTAACCATAAATATGGAGGCTTTTGTGGGCGTAAAATAACGATAATGCAAGTAAAATAATGGACGGTATACAAGTTTTATTACCCCCGGGGCGAATGAATGGAGGAGAGATAGAATCTTTTTCTCCTCTCTTGTTCGGTTTACTATCCTCCAAGAGGAACTCTGTAAGGTACCTTATGTTATCCACTGCCCTCTTCGGTCTTTTAACTTCACGCATTGACTCCCGCAGGCGAGAGAATACCGAAAAAGTATTTCCTCACATCTCTTCAATATCCTCCACATTTTTTTCGATTGAAATTGAAAAGAAAAAAGAATAATTTCGAAAATTTCTGAAAAATTGAATAAAAACGCCGCATCCAGCGTTTGGGAATAAACGAGGGAATTCAATAATGAATGGAATTATATCTTGAAAACGTTCTACTTGTATCCAAAAATACTTATTCACAAATATGGCGACTACTTGTGATGCCATTTTGACGTATACCGTATTTCCCTGTACTCGTTTGGGATGTTGAATCTAAGAAGGGTGTGGTCAACCTCAGAAATTGATTCGACCCGCTCGCTTCTGCGCTCTCCTCAAATCAATCTCATCACCTGTGAACGCGCGTGCGCTCAGTCTCATCCCTCAGAAACGGCAGCCATTCTCCATACTTTTTTTTACAAACAGCAATCAATGCACCTTTCAACTTTATTGGAAGGGTACAAAAAATAAAATGACACAACATGAAGGACATTGTCACAATGGAAATTCTCTGAAATCTCATCAATAATTACTTTCACTTGGGAATAGATTCGATACTGTTGTATTTTATAAAGTCATTACCCAGGTCAGACTGAAGGGGTACAATGTACACCATGTCTACATCAGGAAATCGATATTAGAAAAAAAGTGGGAAGATAAGAATTCCAATAAATAGAAGACATCAGTCGATTCTCTTTCATTTAGAAGGGAGGGCCAGAAGGCAAATAAACTTATTCCATTTCGTACCAATATAAAATAATAGATGAGATTGGTATTCTATGTCAGAGATTGGAGAGATTGAAATTTTTCCAACTTCCACAGACTTGAGAATTCCGATGAAAACTTGATTTCATCAATCCCCTTCGAGAATGCAATTTGAAAATCAACGAAATCTTCAGCCACTGACAATTCCTTACACTATTCACTTGATTTCTCAATTTTTGCTTCCGAATGGAAGCATTGTAATCGTTCTATTTTTCGATTTTCTAATTTTGCTTGGAAATGATGTAGAATGATCTGAAACGTAAAAATACGAAGTTTGGAGACCATGTCTGTCGGTGTCAATGTCCATCGCCACCTGTCCGGTGGTCATTTTTTGGAAAATCGAGCAATAAATTGACTAAACTTATCCCAAAAAATCTGGAATTTTGTCAGATTATAGTACCTAACTAGGACTAACTCTGTGCCAAATTTCAGCCTGATCGATCAAATACTTTCTGAGAAAAAGCTATTCGTTTTTAAATCGTTTTTCGTTAATATCTTCGAAACTAGCCAACCGATTTCAATTTTTTGTTTTCAAAATATTCGTCTCGATGCCTTCTATCTGAATCAATTAAAACATACATACCCGTTCATACAAAGTTTTCGAGATATTTCAGATTTTCAGTTTTTTCATAAAAAGCCTTGTAATCACGCTAGCTTGTGTAAAAATTGAGATATCAACTTGAAATTTGGACAGAATCTTCCCCCCACGATGATAATTTTTCCTGTTGAAAATGAGCTCAATCGACCAACTAGTTTCCGAGATATTCGACTTTCCCTGAAAACTTTCTGTCTGCGATAGCTCAAAAACTTTGTATGAACGGGTATATATGTACATTCTGTGGTTACTCGTTTCAATATTTGTTTCGATGCCATCTCTCTAATCAATTAAAACACATCTACCCGTTCACAGCAAGTTTTCAGAGAAAGTCGAACTACGATCCATTCGGAAGCTTACTACCAATGAAATTGGTAGAAATGAAAGAAAGAGAAAGAATTATAACACAAAAGTAACAGTCTGATGGCTTCTGCCAAAAAGGCTTCAACCCCTGCTTGTTTGTTTCTGCAATAACTTTCCGCATCAAGATCGATTGAAATTCAAATTTTTCATTACAAATTCATAGTTTCGTTCTCAGTAAGAGAAACTGCTGACATTTGAGGGAAAGTGGCACCGATCAAATCTCAGAATTTCACTAAAAATAAGTATCTACATATCAATAGAAGAGTCATTTTGATTTTGCTTCCGAACGGAAGGATTGTTATGTAAACCATTGTTTGCGTTATATCAACCCATTATGACCCAAAAAGTCCGAAAGTACCATTTTTAGACCGTGTCCGTACGTATGCGTATGCATGTATGTGTCTGGTCAAGTTTTTCTTCAATTGTTCGCTTGAAAAATGATTAGCTACATTGGTTAAGTTAATTTTTATGATGATTGTTGAAAATTTTGAATTTTTCATGAATTTCCCTGAAAGTGAGCTTTCTGATGATTTCTTCAAATGTGATGTTTCAAATTCATTTAAGTATGTGTGAATACAATTTTTCTATGAACATTTTATCGAAGGGCTGAGGGGAGAGATAGAACCGTAAAAAAAACAATTGGTTGTATAGAAGAAAGGGATAATAATAATGATGATGATAACGGTCCACTACGTTGAAAATCTGACAAAATTAGTTGAAAAGAAACCTTATTCAATTTAATAAAATGAAATAAACAATTAATTATATATGATAGAAAGAAATGATATGCAAACTACCTATTCGGAAGCATATTGCTAATTTACTAGCAAAAATAGCTATACTATAAACTATACAAGCGCAATTTCCCACCTTTTTTTTCTAAATTCGTGGGTTTCACATATACTCGTGTAATAATCAATATATAATTTTTGGCTATACTTCTGGTTCTTCACTGTCTCATTGCGAAAATCTCTGAAACGAGTAGATTAAGAAAGGTATATGCTATTGGAAATTTAGTAATTGTATATAGAAATTTATTCACCGAATGTACAAAGAAAAAAATTTTTACTCCAAACTCCTGCCTGTAGAGATATAATTTGGGAATTAAAAAATAAACCGCGTCCCCCACATTCTCGGGGGAGAGGAATGGCAAGTCCTATCGCAAGTTGATAACATAAAAATAACAATGATTAAATATGAATATGGATTAAATCGAGATGAGCGTTCAGTATCACATCCTGAATTCTCATTTCCCCTTTTTTGGAGGTAGTAGAGATAAAACATAAA